ATGGACACTGCAGGATGGGGAGCGGGGCACCGGTCAATCACAGACGCTCTGGTTTAACAGTCCAGTCCAAGAATGTCCCAAAGTGCTGCAGTCCCAGAGGTCATGCTGGAAGCCGATACTGGTCAGGGATCCAGAACAGACAGGAACAGACAGGAACAGGATCCAGATCAGGCAGGAACAGAAACAGGTGGCAGGCATCCACAGGCTCCCAGGAGGGTTCAGAGTCTGACTGGGACCAGAAGCATGACCAGGTGGTCACGCACAGGAGCAGACAGGATCAGGTGCAGACGGGCAGGCTCAGTGGCAGAGGGTAACCGAGACAGGACGTAGAACCAGAACTTGATGCAGGACCTTTAAACTGGTCTCCTCCCTGGAGCCAGGCTTACTTGGATAAAAACTGAACCTCCCCACATTTAGAGCCAAAAAACCCAGAGGACTCAGCAGGGGAGGAACAGTGGACGATCAGGAGACGAGACAAACACTAAAACCCTCTTTCCACTGGCTGCCAAGATCCAGGACATGAACCATGAATCAAAATAACAGACAGGCTAACAGAAAGACAAGTAATGATCTGGCCCTGAATGCTCAGGCTAAACTGAATATAAACCAGAGGAAAAAGGTGAGAGGAATAAATTATAATTGAGGCAGGGAGGGAAAACGACAGGTGAAAGGAATGACTAATTGAGGGAGAGCAAACAGGCCAGATCATGACACTCCGATGGATGTCAACGTAGTTGGGTGCTCCAGATGAGCGCTGAACGTGTTTCTAACTTGCATCTACTGCGGACTGCAAACCTTCTTTTTTCTTTTTATTTATTCTTTTTTTTGAGGGGGGGGGTGAAAACCAGCTAGGTTAATACCATGATCAAAGACATCTTTTTTATGCTGACCGCCCGTCTCCTCAGGACACTGGCTTGCGCATCATTTCATGGGCATTACGCTGCCGTGCGTTATGGATAAGTTGGACATAAGTTCTGGGCTCGTTATGAATACTCTATGTTTATGCCCAAGATTGAAAAATACATAGAAAGTTCATTGTATGCCTGCATTTTAGGAGATTCTGGAAAATCGGGCATATGCTGGCTTAATCGCCATGGTGTGACAAGACCTAAGCTTAGGTCCTTCTGTGTTTACAACAAGATGCTTCATATCTTCATCAGTCTGTTGTGGAGAGTGTGATCTCTTTCTCCATCCTCTACTGGGGTAAAAGCTTTAGAGCGAATGACTTTAAAAAAAAAGCTCAAAAAGCTGGTTAAAATCCCTATGAGTTACTGCAACATTTCATTATTGGATTAATAAATTATTTTTGAACTGAATTGAACTATACATCCTGTCATGCAAAGGATTGTGGGAAACTGTATAGCTCCTAGCAGTGGTTATAGAGTTTGAGTCTCTATGCTAACAGTACTATGATAGGAAGCATCCTGCTTCCTCTTCCTATGTCCTTCCTTACTGATAGAACTTATCCTGACGATAACTCACGCACTTCCTCTTTGGCTAAAGTTTCTGATTTGTCTGCTTAGGAGGAATTTCACTTATAAAGTCACATCATTATAATGCAATTGACAAAGAAAACGTTTCATCAGAAGAAAATACAGATTTTCTGAAGTAAATAATCTAAAGCTGCAACATATTCTCATTATCAGTTCGTATGAAATCGTACGAAAAGTTATGCACAGTATTTCGTAAGTTTTTTACGTTTTTCCTCGAAAAAACACATCAGTGCGCATGCGCAGGCAGCCAGACGAAAAAAGCAGATCCGCGGACGGACGTAAAACTGGGAAAAACAGTGCAATAATTACTTCTTCATGTCTCTCTCTAGGTTGCTTGCTGTTTTGTATCTTAGGGTTAGGGTTAGGGTCAGGGTTAGGGTTAATTCTATGCTAAATTCTATGTTATTGAATGGTGCGTAAGATGCGCATGCGCAAGGATATTTTGTCTCGAGGCAAGACGTAAAAATACGAGGAAAAATACCACGAAAAAAACGTCAAAAACGTACGAAATTACTGTACATAACTTTTTGTACGATTTCATACGAACTGATAATGAGAATACACTGAAAGCTGTGGGATCATGGTAGACTCCACTTTTTGTGGCAAACATATGTATTTGAATGTTTAAAATTTTAAATCAACAAACCTTAATTAAATATTTTAGTTTCAGGCTACAACTGAAATATTTAAGTTTTGAATTCAGTTTGATTGTAACTTGGAATTGTGACTTTTTTCAGTGGTGACTTACAGAATGTGATGAATTCACTACAAACCTTCTTTCTTATGAATCATACATTTTGTTTAGAGCTTATTGTCCCTTGGTGGGAAAATTTATCATCTGCTCTTTTAATTTAACTATTTTTGTTTCAGGGAAGGGTTGAATTTCCAACCTCTTACCTTTGCAGTTGCTTCAAGAGGCTAATTCTCTGCTCTCTACACTCAAAAACAGAATTCAAGCATCTGTTGGATCTATTTAAGTATTGTTAGTTACTTTAACACTTTTGCTTCTTGTTTCCAGGGTAGGACGTGAAAAAATAGAGCTAAAGTAACTAAAGAAGCATTAACAGACAAAGCAGATGCCTGAATTCCTTTCGGTTATCAGTTGTTCTTACTTTAAAAAATTAAGAATAGAAAAAATATTTGTTTTGCATTGCACACAAAGTAAAAAAAAAGAAAAAAAATGTCTGGCAGCTTCTCTTTAGCAGCAATTTTTATTGTTAAAATGAAGAAGTTGAGGCGCTAACTTATAAAACCATCAAAAACATAAGTTAGCAGAACTTTAACCTGTTAAAACAATCAGCAACATCTGAATCATTTTGCACTTAAATATTAGAACCAGTTTTCTGAACTTACATCAACTATTGTTACTATTTAAAACAGTATTTCAGGTTTACACTGAAAATAGATTTTTAGCTCCAAAAATAGGACTTTGTTTTGTTTTGTTACATATAAAACACTATGTTTAGTTTAATCCTTTATAGGCCAAGATACCATTCTATAATCACAAGATCTATATCCAGCTATTCAGCAAAGATCCTGCTACATGTCTCTACTTCTCATGTTGGCATTTGACCAATTAGATGAGCCCTTGAATTATATAATACCTACTGTAAATTAAGTTGAACAAGTCAGGAAAAAAAGGCAAAATTGAAAAATTTAAAAGTACAGTTAAATATTTAATAAGCCTAGTTCACAATTATATTTAAGTTAATAAACTAAAAAAATGTTAGTGTCAGTGTCAGCATTAATGCGTCTAAAGTTATGCTGTATAAAAAAATGTTTCTTTCCCACTCAGAGTGTTTTTCATGAATTTCTTATAGAAGCACTTTTTTTTAATTTTTCTTAATATATTCTGGAAAGTTGGTGTTTCTTGTTATTACTTTGACATTAATTCTTGTCATCAAAATATCCATATTTTTTAATGTTACAAAGGTAATAAGGTCTTGTCCTGGGATTCCAATAACAATATTTGCTTAGAATTTTGATTTCAAAGTATTTCACTGAGTGGCCGATTGAGGGTTAATAATAGACTTCATTCAAACTGAACTCATTTTTGAACAACTTGTCTTTTTTATGGGGTGTGTGAGGAAACTGTTGCATAAAATATTGTTGATAACTCAAAATATTTTAGTTGACTATTTGAAAGTGATGAAGACGTGCAGATTAGTGTGACGTCATTGGCTGACTTGTTTGGCAATGGGTGTGGCCACACTGCACTATAAGGGAGGTTAACAGCATCTATTCAAGGATCCCAATGAGAGGAGTCTATAACTTATATCTGAATTAAAACTACTGATACCTGTAGGCTATATTACTCAGGTTAAGGTTTTTGTTTTAGGTTAAACTTTATGAAATGTATATCCATAAACACAATCATTTTAGATACCTGCAGGTCAGGGCATATGTCAAAAAACACATGCGCACTCTAGAGAATATATTACCTAACGAATTTGACAAACTCTTCAAGCTGGGTGGTGGAGAAGGACATCTAATATCCCAGATTTATAACCTGTTACTATCCAGATCCTTGCCGTCCATGCAGGGCCTTAGAACAGGCTGGGAGCAGGAATTAGGAATGGAGATAAGTGACGAACTCTGGAAGGCTGCACTAGAAAATATTCACAAGTGTTCTGCCAACTCTAGACATTGTCTTATTCAATTTAAAATCATGCACAGGCTTCATTACTGCAAGGTGAAGTTACATAAAATGTTCCCTAATACATCCCCACTGTGTGACAAATGCCATATTGAAGAAGCCACGCTTCTTCATTCTTACTGTTTGTGTACAAAATTAACCCCATTTTGGTCAAAACCTTATCAGATATGCTTCCAATAGAGCTGAGGCTGGATTGTGCTCAGAGTTTCTGTTCAGTTTTCTCAACAACAACTATTATCTTATGCCTTCATCATAGAGAATGTTCTTGTTTAATTATGTTTCTTTCGTTTGGTTTTGATTTTGTATTGTCCTTATGCTTTTTGTTCACATAAAAAAAAGAGGACAAATGTGTATTGTTGATGTCTCAATTTTCATGTATGATTCCTCAATAAAAAACTGTTTAACACAAAGTTTATGAAATTTATTATTTTCTTATGCTTTGTATTCTTTACAAAAAACAAAAAATAAGAGCATCTCAGTAACGAAAAAGAGAAACTCTTTGATATTTGATTTCTTAACTTCTTTTTCAAGACTGCAATAATTTCACAAAATGTAACCTCATAAAAATAAGTTCATACAACAAAGTGTTCAGTTCAATGAACGATAAGTTAACAAAACATAAAACTATCAGAAATATCTGCTTATATCACATAAAGTTAAAAAACAATGATTGAGTTCCAGGCTTTTCAGAGTAGACCAAATGCAAAATGTCTTAAAACTTGGAAACAGTCTAGTGGATTTTTAAAAAAACTTTTGTTGGAATGACTATGACCTGGAAGGCTGAGATTCTTCACCAGCAATATCTGCTTACATTTGACAAGGAAACCGGTTGCCATATTCAAAAGGTCAACTTTTTGGATTTTAGAATGAATAATACACCCTGAATCTGAGCTGTTTAACCACATTCAGCTTTTATTATAGATATTTTATGCCACTTGTATAAAAATTATAAGGACACAGAATACATTAAAGCAAAATATGGTCAAAGGTCAAGAGTAAATTAAGTTATGTGTGTCTGTTTTTCTCTGTTTGCATAACATTTCCATTTAATGCCTACAGATCCAGTATTAAATTCCATCTTTGGTTCATTTTTTTTCTTCCTGCCGGAGGAGAAAGAAGCTCCTTTTTTGGCTCCAATGGGAAGATCCACGCAGAGACCTCAGAAAGGCTCCTGCTTCAGCCGGGAAGGTGCCTGTTTCAGGCAATAACTGCATGAATCGCAGCTCATAACAGACCTTAAACAGGCATTATGAAATAACACTTAAAGCCTAATTAAAACACATGGAATACTTGTATTTTAACCATTTATGTCTGCTTTTGTGTTACAGCAGAAAGACAATCAGCGCTGCGTAAAATGCGTGCGTAAAAGGCGTGCGTAAATATGTGCGCACAGCTGATTTCCATCAGTCTGAATGAAAAATAAATAAAAAAGGCAGTTTTTTAATCATATCAGTGTAGATTTATTGTACGAATATAAAGAATAAATAGTACATTTCCCAAATTTACAGAATAAAACGAGTCGCTGATGCGTGTATCAATAATCATAGTTCAACTCTGCTTGATCTGCTTCATCCAACAGAAAGTCCGCGCGTGGCTCTGCGCCACTTCTCCATAAATACAAAATATATATATATAAAAAAACATTATTTTGCACAAATAAAGTAGACTCTGATTACAAATAATACTGATTTTGTACAGGATGTTAAAAGATGCATGGCCACACATGTACAGAAATACATTCTTACACTCTGTAGTGCAGGTGGGGAAATAAAGAGGAGGATGAATTGAGCTGAGCTTATCATTCAGAGTTCACAGCGTCCTTTTTAACTGGAGCAGGAGCATTTGCAGTCCGTGATGACCGGGTACTGCACCGGGATCCAGGCGCATTTCAGCCCGCTTTTCCTCTGCAAACACCTCCACCTCAGCACCGTCAGGTGGGTCGAGTTCGCGGGTCTACAGACCATCCCCTCCGGAACCGAACAGGACCTTTTACTCACGCAGCCGCCAACCCGGACGTACCGGGGCCAGAACCTGCTGCCCAGGTCGGTCCATTTGTAGACCACCGGGCAGAACGTGTAAGCCCACAGCCACTGCTGCAGCCGCCGCTTCAGTTTCTTGCTCGGCTTGTGCTTCTTGCCGATCTGCACATCGAAGTCCACCGCCCGGATCTCCTTGGGCAGAACTCCGCCCGCCTTCAGGATGTCGAAGTGATCATACTCGTCGGATCCCGGGTGTTTGTCCTCCACGGGGAGCGACACGGACAGCAAGCGGCTGTCAAAGTCCCCCAGCATGCTCCTGAGCTCGGTCTCATTCAGGTCCCGCTCCTTGGGGTCAAAGACCGGATCCGGGTCCTCTTTTAAATCCACCACCGGGAGACTGTCACTGGGGATGGGGCGAAGCAGGAGGAAGTGCTGACAGATCGCTTTGTCCACCAGGAGTCCAAGAGACATCATCAACAGACACACGGCTGCGCACTGCTGAGACTGATCCATGTCAAACTGCAGGAGACAGCGGAGCTCCTTTACGCGCCGGCTGTATCCAAAGAACTGCGTGTCCAAAATCCCGCACACTTTACTGCCCCATCATGAAACTCCTTCGCAGCGGGAGAACATCAGTGGAAGCCGGTTTTAGCGATGAACAGCGTGGCAACGATCAGCGGTGTCCCTGCGCTCCGGCATCCTGATTCGCTGAGCTCCTGTTCAGAAAAGCGCTGCGCCAAAGCCGCCGCCTCCGTTTTATCCTCAGCACGCAGCGTGATGTCATCCACGCGCCCCGCTGTGAATGTGGGTTTGTTGTTTAGGAGGAGATCCCCGATACCTCCTCCACCTTGGAACGGGTCAGCGGAGGGAGGGAGGGAGGGAGGGAGCGGAGACGCCCCCTGTTGGTTTTCTAGACGACACTTAATCAGTCAGATCTGGATCTGGAACTGGATCCTGTAGAGTTTCTGAAGGAACCCAATACCCAAAAACTACGGGACCGACAACTTCTTCTAGTCTTCAGACCTCCTGCTTTTTTCCATAACTTAAAAAAAGCAAGAAAAAAGCTGTAATATGTGGACGCACTTTATATACTATATACTGTATATCCCATGCACCTTTTTCTTCCTTTGGCACATTCTACTTCTTTGACTATTTGAGCTGATGTTACCAGAGGCGTAGCCAGAAATTTTTCATAAGGGTGGC